TCAATCCTCTGCGTTGGTCGTTAACTGATTTTCCCAGCGCGAACTTTCGAGACAGCTGTGAACAGGATATTGGATTAATAGAGAAAACAAAGCAATGAAGAACGTCAATAGCTCGTCGCATTTTCGGGTTTGCAGGCGTAATCGTGCCGCTTCTTTACTAGTAGTCAACTAGGGACTTTTTTTGCAGGCCGAGCAGAGCAAGAACCCACAGAATAAAATAAATGTAATGAATAAGGCAGGCATGGCACGAAGTTCAGTACAATCACTTCGTCTAAATTGAACCTAGCGAGGACGACTGCCAACGGTGCAAGGAGGCACTATGCCCCAACGATTTGTCAAATTCATTTATGCTTCTAGTCCATTTTCAACGTCCGCGCTTCATCTCGGGTGGCGATGTTTCCACTTACAAAATTTAGCCTTACTGGACCGAAATTGCTTGCCGGTATAGTCCCGGTAAAGTCCAGGGGTCTGATCTGAGTCCAAATCGGATCAGCCGCCTTTCTTCCTTCGAGATTTATAAATGAGCACCACATCGCGAGGAAGAAACAAGAGATTAGATGCTTTAGTGGAAAATAAGTTGTAACTGCAGCTCTAGGAAATACAAGAACAATGAGGCACTCTTCGCTGATAGCAAGGAAATGAAGATTAGCGCCGTACCATAAGCTTCATGAAAAGAGGGATGCGCGAATAGCGCTCAAGCATGAAAGAGTATGCAAAAACAACGCCCAAACAGTTACAACCTTTCCTTTTGTCTTGACAAGATCAAAATATCAGACTTATCAGAGAGTGGGTAACTTTTTCGGTAGTCGTTCGGCGGTTTCAAGTAAAGGGCTAAAGCGCCGAAAAGTTTTAGAGCAACTCCACCTAAATAACTGTTCCATGACCAAATTTTACTAAGCGGAAAATACTGTAGTAAGAACCAGTAATTTGTGTCTAAAATACGAACGCGTGCTTTTCGCACTGAGGTAATCGAACACACGTGTAGACGTCTGTCTGCAAATGCGTCCTGATCGTGACGTTGACATCTGCGACCGTGCTCGTAAACTTGTGATCAACTGCCATAAAACAAGAGCCGTACGATGCCATGAAATTAACGGTCACCGTCTTTGAACTCGTAGTCCGGTCACAACTCTGAAGCTGTGGCGAATCTGCGCTGGCGTGCGAGCGGTTCGACATTACGTTACGCCCTCGTACAACGAAACGACGCCAAACTGTCCGACCGCTGTTGGCCGTTCAGCGGGAAATACGACTGAACGAGAACTATTTCATTTTCAACTCAGTGAAATTGACCTCGTCTTCGATGACTTGATGAGACATCAATTAACATGGATTTAGCGGATTTCGAACGCTCGGTTTCATTCGGTTCGTTCGTAAACCTGCATGATTAAACAGTAGGTCGCACGTCAATTCGTCACGTAGACAGCGAATGAGGGTCATTTCGATCCGATCGGATGTTGCAGTCGTGAAACTATTATTTGAAGGATGACCTTTAGGCCCATCATAATAACAAACAACTAATGTCATCTTCAGCAGGCTTTAACCCTTAAGCAGTCGCGTCGGTTCCGCATGGCCCAAGTGATACTTTTACTGACTAAACTTAATTTATAAAGAATTAGTGGATGAACGAGAGTCCAGCGTTATCTACTAATTTGTCTCTTCCTTTTATTGCTGCTCAAGTCGTCGAAGGTAAATGTATGGTCTATCGAAATATCAGGTTGGTACCCGACGCGAGCGTGGTTGTCTTGAAAATTATTTCTATAAATCAGTGCGAGAGTTTCTTTATTCTTCCTCTATATCGTGCTGACATATCTAAGAAAAAGTTTACTTTTAAAATTCACTGTAGGAATATTCGTTAACAATGTGCAGACAATATGTAAATTGTATCTTGAACTGCTTCATTTTATTCATAACTTGCATTTTAAAAAATCGTTGTGCTTTAATAGAACCCGCCATTCTTGTAATATTTCATAAATCGGTGTTTTCTAAATGTTTCTCTACATTGCTGAGATGTTTCTAATATTAATATGCAAAAAAATATTAATTTTCTTAAGGGCAAAGTAATGGTCAGTACAATCCAACGCGAGTAATTATGCACCTTTTTGTCATGCGACTACGTAAAGGTTAAACGGAACTAACAAAGGCTGCGGGGGGGGGCTTGCAGAACAGTCCGCATGCGTAATATCTGCTCTCTGGCTGGAAAGAAACCAGAGGTATACCAATACGTATAGCGCTGGCGACAAGACCTGTGAATCCGTTCCTCTTCCATATCGAGCAATATGGTTTTAATCGATTGAGCGATCGATTTATATGTCTTGCTTTGGAATGGCAGAGGATAGCTGGAATGGCTTTGAGAAACAGCTGCCCTCGCGACTGGAAAGTAATAGTGGAGGGTGAAATTTAAGAAAAAAACAAACATCGCCCTCCGTGCAGAGGAATGCCTACATTGCGTCAATACGCAAGACTGAGTACCACTGTTTCACCGAATTTCTCATGTGACCATTCAAATGACGCCAAAGATGTTACTGCTTTCTGTTTCTTAACATTATCCATAATGCGTTTTTCCAATCTTCCGTACAGAGGGAAGACCGTATGGTGCAAAGGTTCATTCTTGCCTTCATCAGAGATTCATCAGAGATACTGATGGTGCCCACCCCTCCCAAATCCTTCCATTTGTGTTTGTATTCGGAGTATCCTTGTCCTAGACAGATTTGACATATGGTATAAAAGTACGTTTGTCAACTGCTGATATCCATTGCCTTATTCGCTAATCGCGTCATGTCAGATTTTGCGGTTAGTGAAAATAACCTGAACAGTATCTCGCCTTGGCTGTCGTAGCCTGATCTAGCCATTGTTCGCTCATCACGAAGTGTGACGGAGGGTTTGTGAAGAGTCTCTTCGGCTTAAAGAGACAAAATGAGTGTCCGAATATCCGGGTACGAGCACAAAAAAGGACTGACGTTTTCACATTCGCTAGCCATTCGAAGCTCAGTATCACTACAATAGCACATCATTTGTAATCCGGTAAAACACGGCATTCGTCATAGTTTTGATCGGTGGTCAAACACAAGAGCTTCGGCAGCCAGAATTCTCTGACAAACTGTGAAACGTCAGTTTTTGTAGTCGAAGCGCCGGCAGGGGGTCAAAGGCCACTACAAGCTTGTGATAATGTAATAAGTTCGGTGATACGCTTCGATCATCTGTTTCGTATCAATCGTCGATAAAATGACTTATTGCGGTTCCGTACAGTTTAAATCCTTGAAGAGCGCCACGAACGTGCTGCCGCTTCAGGAGTCCGGCCCAGCGAAGCTGTCATCGAGAACCAGGGACTTGGTAAAGATCGAAAGATATCACCGAGTAGCTGAGTCGACTTCAGACTGAAAAAAATATTTCTCTTTGCATCACAGACGACTACCGCAGACATATCTGGTTCATGAATGCCATAATTAATAAGCAGAACTTTTTAGAAACTTCTTCATCAAGCATGCCTAACATTAAACCATATGTTATCGCATCCCTTCATCCCGTAGCAGGCCGATTACCGATGCGATGCGGAAGTGAGGGAGATCGACATATCGCAGCTCGGCAGGAGGAGAGGTCCGCTTCGAACTTGATAGAAGCCGAGTTTCAATTGCGAAAAAGAAAAACATTTTTTACCGCCAATTCACCCTAAGTTGCTTTAGCGCTACAAGCCGAAATACAGGTGAAAAGTCGTTGACTTGAACTGGGACAACATGGTAATTTGTGTAGTCACGCTGTGACGGGAGAATGGTACGACCGTGCGGTCGAAAACGCCTCTTAGGCTCCAATTAGCCTTTATCCACAAGACAGCTGACCGTCCGGTATGATATTCTGTACAAGTGCAAACCCCGCTATAATGTTGTAATAAGAAAATAGAGATCTCGCCACTGACATGGTACGAACATTAGATTCCAGTCAGGGGAGGTTAAGTTTCACCTTAACAGCTCTCTACAAGCCTGATCTCACGTCCTTCTGTAAAGTGTTTACTTTGTCACTGGTCGTCAGGTATTGATGACCGTCATTACAGCATTTTCGGCACACCATGGCTATTTCACATCGAGCTGACGACATACCTAGTGACATTTAATTTAGATGTTGCCATTCCGCTTCGGTTCATATGAGGCCAGAAAGATCAAACGGAGAGGTAGCGGTGGATTAGGACACTGAACACTTGACACTACTTTAAATTGCGACTGAGCACTTGATTACTTTTACAGTCGATAGTAGGAACTGATTAGCCAATACAGTGCATATCCTATCGGATTAGCATTTGTCGTGAAGATGGGAAATGTTGTTTGGCTGACACGACGGGAGCTTTAATACACACTTCATCGTAAGCATGTCTGTACGCTGGAATTACAGAAGTACCAGTTTCATAAAATTAAATTTGTTCAAAAGTTTTTTAAATGAGAGGCAGTCGATCTTTTTATTTTTTCCGCCAGAGAAATTTACCTAAGAAACAGTCTACGACTCTGTGAGTTTCTGATCGCCATGGCTGTTTCACAGCTGTGCGTGCGTTACCGCGTACAAGGAACTGTAGACTGCGACCCTGACGAAAGTGCTGAAAGACATCAATTCAGTTCAATAGAGAATAATAACGCCTAGAACAATCAGAGCGAATAATGAGTCCTTCTTCTACATATTTGGCGATGATAGGAATTAAAACATATCTGCCGTTTTATCCTGTAGAAGAAACAGAAACACGACGTAGGTCTCTTTAAATATTGGACCAAGACATTCTCTTTGGTAACCCTCGACCCTCGACCGCGGTCATTTTACAATGCGTAAACAAAGTTTCATCTAATTAATCATCAACACTTAGATCTGGGCCGCCAAACTTTATTAACAACAGTGCAAACGTTATCGCAAATATTTTTTTCAGTCGAGAATTGCGCAATGAAAGTAGCACAAAACATGGTTTATTCACGCACAACGCAAACAACGTAGTCAGTAAGATGATTGGCCAAAACCGACGTTTCGGCCTGTGCTTCATAAGTCTTTTACAAGTGCAGAGAAGTGGGTTAGTTTCTCATTTTGTCGTTTGTTCACAGTTCGTACATTCGAAGCCGAAAGACCATTATTTGTGTTGTGTATAAATAAACCGTTTCGTGTTGCTCTCGGTATCACCACCACGCACGAACCATATGCTCGAATAATCGCACTATAATCTATTTCAAACTATTCCTCACTGTGTTTCACAGACGTCAATTCTTTAGTTCAACAGTATGTAAATTCCT